AGAGAACAGATATGATAAATTTGGTGCAGCTCGATTTAATTTTAGTGGCAAAGCATGTGCTTCATTGATTGCCATTCTAATTAATACTGAATCATTGTTCTCCATGAAATACTCTCTTTTCTGTCTCTGTTCCTTGCAAGAAAAATACTTATGTTGTTATTTAACTTGGTGAAGTGATTTTTCTCGAGTGTGTCAGTGACTCACGGTGTCAGCGGCAGTCAAGTTGATTCCGAGCCCTCCGGCCCTCGTACTCAGGAGAAACACAAAGATATCCGTCCTGCGGGGAGGTGGTGGGGGGAGGGGTGGAGGAGAGAAACAAAGAGGGAGGGAGGGAAAGGAAGAGACAACCATAACTCAAAAGGATATCGTTTCCAAGTGGAGTAAGAAAACAAATACCCATAAATAATGGCATTGAATGAAGTTATAATGCAAGTTAAGAGCAGTTTGTGGGCATGACATCCTATTAAAACTTATTGGAGAAGAGTGACATGTGAAATGGAACATGCATTTGATACCAGCAGCAGAGGTCTGCATCTACACCCTCTAAATTTAATAACACAAATGCCTCAGAGCTGCATGCTAATGTAAAACAGAACCTGTGGGATCGATAGAAAATCCAAACGCACACATGTAAGATTAAACTGTTCTCTAATTGCTGCAATATTTGAAAAGGGAGATTAACAGATAGTTGGTAAAAGAGGGGGTTTGGTTTCTCACACACACACACACACACACACACAGTCGATTGTATCTACCCACCGACTCTGGAAGTCAGCCACCATGTCTCTGCGCTCAGAAATCTTGGAGGATCCATCAAGGCGCATGTAGGTGTGCTTTCGATAAACCATGTACTCCTGGAGAGGAAAGACAAAACAATTAGGAAAAACCGATGAGACAGTTTCACAGTGTTGCCCTTTCTCATGTGTCCGCTGTTCGCCAGAACTAGAATCAAGCACAGTCCTAGCTCAGAGGATTTTCTCCAAAAAGTTAATATGGAAGAATGTTTGCAATAACAAAGTTGTCACATCCAATCAGTGTGACTATTTACTGATGCTGCAGATGTTTGTTTTCAACCTTTTATACTTTCACCCTGCAAAGAATTCATGATTTTAGCTTTTGAATTCAAGGATTTGCATGACGGAACCTTCCTGGATCATCTCTACCAATGATTTAGAAATGACAAACCAAAGAGTTGTCGTCCAAACTTGAGGAAACAGGATTCTCAAGTGCTTTCTGCTCGGGGAAAATAGTCACGAGCAACTATATTGCGAATTTAATAAGTTCTCAAATATGCAATTCTAATCAAGTCACTCTCTGAGGAGCAGATAAATCCTGCAGTTCTACTTCTTAAGTTCCATGGGTTGAGAAATATGAGTCTTTATTGAAAGTTCCATCCTGCAACAGGATTTGTGTCCAAAATATAAAAATCCCACATTTCATATGCATATTTACTGGAGCTGAAACCTCACTACCAGCCCACAGAGACACTGAGAAATGCAGAAACTGACATTTTACCCCCCCCCCTGCTAAGCTGTGTTGTGTGTGAGTATTTGTGTGTGGGTGTTGGGTCTAATGGAAGGAGGCTCTCCAGTGCAGGGGGTCAGAGCAGCAGCAGTGATGAGGTGCCACGTTGATCTCTCTTTAACCGCTGCTCTGAACCTCCGACCTCCTGCCCGAAACATGTCAGTGCCCTTTGACCGATGAGCCAGTCACAATTACTGCCGCACATCACGACGCACCTCACACAATCATTACCGATGATATCAATGATTCCAGCGACCTCCTCAAGCCGGGGCCCGCCCTCCTCTGCACGTGTGTCTGGCTCCGCTCCCGCTAGCCCATCTGCTCCGAGTGAACGCTACATTAGGGACCATTAGCCGCAGAGCTCGCCAAAATGCTGCTAACCTTGTTGAATCAGGTTTTGATATCTCGCCAGCAGGATGTTGCTCTTACAAAAAAGCCTTACTCAGCCTTCCTAATCTACATCCAAGTCATCAGAATCAAAGTTTTCAAGATCTCCCCTGTCATGCTTTAAATCTTGTTACAGCTTTGTGTCACTTCTGCTATGCACTGAAATCTATACCGCAGCAGCTGGCTAGTTTCTCTCATATGATGTTGGAGTTTGTGTTAATCACATGTGACGCTGCTGTTCTGCGGTTTGTAATGCTTTGCAAGTGTTTTAAATCAAGATGTGGGTCCACGTTAACCTTTAAAAGGCCAAAATGTTCATCTTGTTCAACTAACTGTCAGCAGCCTATTATAATCCTATTAGCAGAAAAAAACTATATGGGTGTGATATTTGACAAGCGAGCTGACGTGATGTATGTGAGGAGAAAGACTTGGGAAAACAGAAATGTCCCGTTTTGGTCTCTGCATTTTGACTTTAGGTCTTTGTGGTGTGAGCTGTAATGTGCATGAAAACCACCTCTGAGCACAAACAATGAGTGGCAGCCAGGTTGAGCGCAACTTCCCACACAATAATGAGTCCCACAAGTCTCAGAACTGTGTGGTCACATTGTGTATTGATTGTAGTTATTAGGTTGGGAACACATTGTGCATGGCCACAGTCTGTTCCTCTCCTCATAACTGCAATAACAATTGAAAGAAAAGAACATCAAGGGGTTGCTCTATAAATAAATGGCTCAACAGTGCAACAAACTGCAAGAGCGTATTCAACAAGCCAGATCTCTGAATTAACTATCGGTGCCAGGTCTGATATATTGTTTTTCAGGAGATAGATGCCAATACTTTAAATCTTTTATATATAGTAATTGTTCCTAAAATGTCATTACCATAACCCTTATGACAGAAAATTGTAATTGAGACTTAAATAAATATAAAAAGTAAAACACAAATATAGAGAACTTGAATTAAGTTAAATATATATTTTTTCATGTAAACATAAACACACCTCTTTTGTGCCTTGTTCATTCTAAGTATTATAAATAGTATGACGCTACATTGGTTTTAGAAAGTGCAGATAGGTGAACAAGCCCATAGTGGCTGGGTTTCTGCCAGGTTCACACTGTTGTTGAATTTATAATATAGAGAAAGGACTTTATGATAACACATGAATTAAATATAATACCTGTTTCACTATCATTCTCACCGAATTATGAAGGAAACCTGTATCTATACCAAATCGTATTTATCACTAAATCACATTTTCTGTCTTTTTCAGCCTAACACTAATTACTAATCAGATAATTAATTGCATCAATTTGTCCAGATCCTGGATAAGCAGCAGAATGGACTGATTGATTAGCCAATTTAAAAATAAAGAGAGCTGCCAAAATTAGTTAATTGATTGATTAGTTCATTGTTCTTCAAGGTCAAGTATCAAACTTGTTATGCCTTTATAAACAAAAAGATTTGCTGCTTTTTCCTTTGGCCAAATAAAAGTAAATAAACAGAAAGTAACTAAAGGAAGAAAAAACTGAATGTGACAGAATTTTGAAACTGAATGTGTGTTGTACTCTTTGAAAACTGCACAGTTCAGAATATTGTGTGTCTCAAGGTTGACAGCCGCAAAAAACAAAACTCAATCACCCATGAACCCAATAACATGGCTTTTCATTTATACAATTTGGTTTAAACCCACAACAGAGCAGATATATATAGTAAAATAATCCAAATGTATCACAAAATAATCAGACTTAAATCTATGCTCTGAATTACATAATGAGACACTGTATCCCACTTTGTTAGTTGATTATGAAAAACAGATCCATTCAATCAGAGCTGTAATCTAAGCTACAGATTCATAGTACAGTTAAGTGCTGCCTATGCAGCCAGACACACAACTCAAGCGAGAGGGCAGTGACTTGGCGGTCCTGCTCGACTGCTGCCAGAGAAAGCCAGCTATGTTATTTTTCCTCCAGGCCACCCAGATCTCGATGATCCATCACCCTACGACGTGATGTCACCAGAGGAACGGGCAGCCGACCGGCGACGAAAACAATGACGCTAATGACAGAGATTAGCATCAACCTCTCCTTTGCTCGTTCTCTTAGTCTTGTGTTTGAGGAAATCAACTCCATCTGCAGAATTTTTATCCCCCACGACCAGTGAGCGAGATAATATGTTGGAGGACAACTGAAACCAGATTGGACGAAATACAGTGTATGATTTCATTTGTGGGTGTATTTAACCCATTAGAGGAGGCGACGCTGTCACAGCCCCATTTACTGTATGAGGTCACCCATAAACATGGCGCTGCAGTTTGCCCCATTAGAACAGGAAATCATAGCTTGGAGGGACGGCTGAAGGTGGAAGTTAGACGAACACCAACACAGAAAGCCCGGCCTGCTTTTTCTTCCTGAGCATTCTCAGCATCTCTGTTTTCATTTGGCCTCAAAACACAAGGCATTCCCACTGATTCCCAGACACACAGGAAGACGATCCTTAACCACCTGGGCTGGGTCCATCTGCCATCAGAAGATTTGGCTGTGAAAACACAGTACAGTGCTGCACCACTGTGTGTGTGTGTGTGTTTGAATGAGGGAGGAATTCCCAATGACATCATGCCAGAGGCGTGTTGGCTCCATAGAGATGTTTGCAACAAATATGGAAGCAACAATAGAGCACAGCACCAAGGCTGTCGACACGCTCTTTTCCTGACGGAAACGATGATGTAGATTTTATTTTAAATTGAGTCCAAGCTTTAATCAGAAGAAAGCAAAACAGAGAAGGTGTCTATGAGTGTGGTGGAGTGGTTTTCACCAACGTGAATTTAGTAGCTCTTGTTGATAAAATACCTTAATTGCATCACAGCCTCTTTGAGCTTCCATCACTTACCTGAGTAGATAAAAGTAACAAGTGTCGTAACAAGAAATAAAAATATTTTCTATAAATCTTTATTTTGTTTTCATCTTTCGTCCCCTCATCTACCTTTGTCTTGAGTTTGCTGCCTTATTTGCGTCTCCTCAAGGCCCTTGCCACTCCCATCTCCCCCCTCTCCTCACCCCTTCCAGCCATCCCTCCCATCTGGCTGCCTTCCCTGCAGATATGAGCCTACTAATTTGCCCTGAACTGTTAATTAGCCGTCTAATGAGAACACTGACGAGGGACAGGCAGGCTGATTAGAGGAGCTCAATAGCTCGCCAGTTCAAGAGGATGAGTTAAACAACTTGCTTGGCGGATAATATGCAAACGACACATTCAAATGTGTCGATGAGGCATTTTTATCGATTTATTTATTTCTCAATTTTTGATGGTTGCTATGTGTATGGGGACACTATCGATTTGATTTTTCCTCTTCAATAATATAAAACATGTACAAATTATACCGAGATCAAGACCAATGAAGAGTTTGGTTTCCTACAGTATACCTGAGCACTGCACAGCCCCACTGTAACACGTTGACCCAACTCATACAGCTCTTGTTATCATGGGGTTTTGTACTGGGGGTAGTGGCTGGATGTTGTGATTCTTTTCTGGTATAAATATACTGTACAATACTGTGTGTGTGTGTGTGTGTGTGTGTGTGTGTGTTTGTACCTCCAGCAGATCGATCATGCGCGTCATTTGGGAGTAGATGAGGACTCGGTGTCCATGCGCTTTTAGCCGACTCAACAGGATATCCAAGGTGTGGAGCTTTCCACTTTCTGTGATCAGACTCTCCTTATCTGAAAGAGAGAGAGAGAAAGAAGTCAAAGCTCTGAACGACCAGGAGTGTGAGAGACTGGTGCCCAACACTTTATTTTTACACAGCCAGAATGTCCTGCACAAAATGGTTTCTTGGTGGTTGTGTCTTAAATGTGTAAACTTGCACATCATTATCATGTCATTTTGTTTGTTTTTTACTGCAGCTTTCACACGATGTTGTACATCTGTTTACTGGCAGAAAGCAGCCCACTCAATTCAGAGGTTATCAAGTCTTTCCTAATCAATACAAGTCTTCAATAAGACTGTATTCCCTTGGATACAGATCAGCCCGAGCATTGATCCCTCTAAATCTGCCCCTGATCTGGTGATTGTTCAAATGAAGCTTGTGCCCTTATTGATTGGACTGCTGATGAGAGCAGAGAAAATGAGAGAGAGACTGGAAGAAATTGCGAGAAAAGGTGATTTACACTCAACGGCACAAAAGATGAACAAACAGGCCTAGCAGTTGGTGTCGGTCACATTACTTCCAACACCACGTCAGGTGTTGTGCAGCTTTCAAATGATTGACCACGGAGGGCAAATGGGGAGCAATCTGACCCTGGGTCTGCTGTTGAAGTGCCGCCTCCACGTCAAGCTGATGAGGAATTAACGTCACCCGACACAATAGGAGAAAGAGAAAAGGACCAGGTCTGCCATCGACCCGGTGACAGGCACACTATGGTGTTTGACCGAGGGGTCGTGACCCTGAGCGGGGAGAACCTAAGGCCAGGTCCAGGGTCAGGTGACAGGGTCGGGCCAGGGCAACTAGAGAGTCCCTATGGGAGAGTCAGGCTTGGACGCCTCACGCTCGACTTGGACACTCCTTCCCAAACCCCTTTTGTACATCGAAAACACGGGTTTATAAATATTTCCAAGTCTTATTTCCTCGCTTTGTCAATGTTATGTAACCAACCGCGTTAAAATTACGTTTGACTAATCCAAAACACAAGGTTGGATAATTTAAACTCGGAGGAGGCTGGAATAACATGAACATGACAAGGTTCAACCACAATATCAGCGCACCACTGAAATAAAACAATTTCTTAAAGACAATCGAATGTGCTGAAGACATCCAGTAAAACCCACAAAAGTGACTGGATCTCTCTCTCCCACTAATATTCAATGCTAATGAGCACTCAGGCTGAACCCCGACCCATGACCCTTCAGTATTTCCCCCCCAAAAAAGGTCAGGGCCTGCCGAGGTGTTAAAGAGGAACTAATAGAAGAGACGAACAAGGGAAACACTCTGGGGAGGTATTGGAGACCTCACCTCCAGGTCACTGTGAAGTGTTGTCAGACCTGAAGCTTGTGAAACTGTTGACAGAAAGAGTTTTCAATCAATATCGTATTTATATCTTTAATTTAGCTTTTTTTTGTTTCCTACCAGACAGCTAGTTCATTGTGGGCACAATTTATATTTTTTTCATGATTGTGAAACTGAGATGAACTGGGGTATAATTCTGAATCTCCACAGAAACGAGACCAAGAGATGGAGGAAAAAAAGCAGAAGTACATGAAATAGAGGGGGAAAACGGAAGCGGGACAAAGTGAGATAATAAAATATGATCATAAAACAGTAATAGCAAGAGACAATAAACTAAAGATAAAATTTAACTGCAGATTTATTGGAAAATACACAGTTGTTAAGACATTGCTGTGGCTCAATCCGGTGCGTACCAAGAGACCAGCACACCACAAGCCCAGAGATACAAAAACACTGTATCCCACCATCAAAGGCCTATAATTGCTGATGGCGTCAAGGAAGTGGATGGTTGAAAAGTAAAAGGAGGAAATAGTGATACATACAGAAGATCAGACATGTGCATGAGAGGAAAAACGGTCCAGACAGAGGGGGATAGACAGAGAGCGAAGGGGGTCTGTGGTGGCTCCGGCTACGGTGAAGCGGTATTAGTGCGGTGGTGGCGGTAATGTTGTGGTTTTCGACTAGACGGGGGCCCTCTCACCACAGGTGCCAGTCTAACCAGGGCCGCTGCTTAGTCAAGGGCACGACCAGCGCTGTGGGCCCACGCTGCCAACCACCCAGATGCAAACCACTGCTTGGCAAAGGTGCAAATGCTCATATAAGGCAGCTCTGCTCGACCGCTGCCACCAATCTGTTTCTGTTTAGCAGATTTTCTTAAAGCCTCCAGACTCCCATGTTATGTTTGAAGATGGGTTAAAAAACTAATCTGAGGATTTCTGTGGCCTGATGAGATTAAATGTTGCGTGTATTTAAATTAATTCTTGAAGGGCATAAACTTTAAATGTAAAAATTCCACATTAAGCAGTTTGATAGTATTATTTATAAATGCTGAGACAGTTTCAGGCTCAGATAAGAAAAGCTCTCATGTTCGATTACACTGATCTGATGATGTATCCCACGATTTGATCTTTGAGGACACCATCTGATCACTACCCTGTTTGATTTCAATGGTATTCAACAAACAGGGAAATGATGACTATTAAAATATGCTAAATAATCAAAAGGAAGACAAGGAAACAGATGTCCAAAAGAAATGGCGGGATTGGTTGAAAAAAGAAAACAGAAAAATCCCACCCCTGCAACTATCCAAACTCCCTAAAGCCCAGCGATGTGGCTTACACAGAGAGGTGGCCGGGTTCAAAACATTTAGTGCTGCATACAGAAAATCCCTATTTCTAAATATTGCTGCCATACCCTATAAAGCCAAGCCAAGAGAATGAATAATAGTGATTTAGGAGGGCGGATTTTGGTGGTCTGTCTCATTCCAACATAACACTTATGGCTTACATTATAAGCTACATGTGGCTGCAAAGAAATGCACGACCACTGGTCACAAATGAGAGCGAACTGGATGTAGTGACCATGCGTGTAACGTGATTATGAGTTATGGAGGACGTAGAGGGATTAACGTGGAAATGCCTTTACATGTAACACGTGATGGGTCAAAATCAACTGGCCTTCAAGATGTGTCCAGTTGAGATTCAAAATATGTAAATGAAGGGAAAACAGAAGGAGCCTTGTGATCTAACATTAAAACCAAACCGTGGGAATTTTAAGATGATATATATACTTTTTTTTATAAAATTACTTATGGCGCAATACAGTTTTCTAAGCAGACACAAAGACAGAAGAAAACAGGAGGGGGAACAAGACTTCAATCATTAACAACGAAGTAAAAACCGAGGGAAAAAGCAAAGGTAATAAAAAAGGAATGGGGGTCCTCATGTTTGGTATGGACGTACTTGTAGTTTGGCCCATGATTCATACTCTTCTGGGCTTGTACCCTCATGGTTTAATTCACTTATTGTAAGTCGCTTTGGATATAAGCATCAGCTAAATATTATTTAATGTAATATGTGTATACACGTGTGTGTACGAATGTAAGGGTTTTTGTAAAAGGTGGGAGATGTAAATGTAAATGCAGAGGGAGCAGAAACGCGGAAACAGAGGGAGAAAGATAAGAAAGAAAAAAGGAAAGACAGAGAAGGGGAAGAGAAAAAGAACAGCCGTGCTTTTAGAGGGCTTCACTGGTTGGGCACTGAGGACAGAGGGGAGCCGTGGTGGATCTGGAGGTGAACTAGAACATATATCTGCCTGAGCACAAAATAAATGTGGGTTCAAATGTACTGAAATGGACACAAAACAACTTAATGATCACAGACTGACAAGGACAGCGTTAACACCACACCCCCAAAACACGAGCAAATCCCATGTGTTGTCACACCACTCTGTCGTTGCTATGGATACACGTATCAAGCTCTTCGCCACCTGCCCTGCCCCGCTTTCACAGCCCCCCCACTCGTCCCAATACAATCCAGTCTAACTGCGGTATTCACCCTGCCGGCCCTCCCCATCTCCTCCTATCCGTACCTCCTGCTGACAGATTAGTCTGCACTCCCCTGTCCTTCATCTCTCCCCCTTTCTACCTCATCCACTGTGCCCTCTCGGTCCTCCTCTCTTCTACCACTACAACCCTCCTGCTTCCCCGTGCACGCCCTCTCTCCCTCCCCTCTACTGTCTGTCCCCCGACAGTGTAATCCAATCCCTGTAGGGCCAGAGCCAGGGGCCTGACACGGTCCTGACCCAATTAGAGGCCTGCTGCCAGCTAATTAACCCCGGCCCAGCCCTGGTGCCTGGCGCCTGATACTCCCAAACCAACTACTGCGCTAATTTCATTAATACGCCGCTACAATATTCAGTCCTGTCCTATGCTCTTTCCCCTCTGCTGCGGCTGCCAAGGCAAAAGCCAAGAGCGGCGCAACCCCTCAACAGGCAGGGAAGTGGGCCAGATGCCATCGAGAAAAGAGGAGACGCACAGAAGCGAGACTGCGAAGCAAAAGAAAAAAAATCATCATCAAGAGCTGATAAAGAAGATGGATGGGTGGTTATGTGAGAAAGAGAGACAGATGGGGGGCCAATGAGCAGGTCGAATCAACGATCGAACAGCGCGCAGGCCCCTCACTGTATAATGATACATTACACTGCACAATCAATAAGTCAATGGGCAACACTTGTTCAGCACCACTGATGATGGAAATATTAGCCCGACACTACTTTGCTGCTTCTGTGTGTATTGACAAAAACCAGACTTAAACTTAATTTTCTCACAGCGGCAGCATCAGGACTGCTAAGAGCCAGATGCCAGGAGGAGGCTTTGGAAGCTGGCCGACAGAAAACTGGAGAATTTAGTTCTTGTGAGGACTTGATGAAGTTTTCACAGGTGTGACACCAAAATGTGAACAGTAGCTCCACTCTGAGGAGCCAAATAGACAGACATGCATTTCGCAAAGCCACAAAAATGTGACTGCGTGCTGCAGAAAGTGAATGATGGACTGCGTTTGTGTGTGTATATATGGAACATGTATGCACATACATCAATCTACCCTCAAACATGCACGAGCAGCACTTCGCCTGCTTCTCTTGAAGCAGGGGAAGAGACAGACAGTCTGATGCGCACTGTGGAGTCTCGCGGGGGAACCTGACCACACCACACCACAGCGCCCCACTGTGAACTCTGTCATTAAGATAGATTACTGCTGGTTAGCCCTGGCCAGAAATGACTCAACACGCACCGCAGATGAAAGCTAGCTGGCTGAGAGACATGGGGAATTAGATATTACTTGGCTTCCATATTAGAAGATCTCATTAGAGGAGCATAATGCAGCTAATGTCTCCCCCTTCAGTCGACTTTGGGACTTTCTTACATACAAACGAGCACCAGTTTTCCTTCTTGATGACATATTAGCAGCCATAAATTAGACTGGGGAAATCAAAACATCTGCGTCCCTTTTCTTTTTCTCTTCATTCACTGGGGGTAGGGGAGTAAAACAAAAAAGATGCAGTCCGCAGACAGTAAGCGGTGCCAGTTAAATGCAGATTGAGTGGGGGCAGAGTCAGGCGGTGGTGTGGTGAAGCTGCCTGTCTGTGTTGTTTTGCGCCTGTCTATCAGAGGCCCGGGGAAGTTTCCTGCCATTTTGCTGGAGAGCAGAGTTTCTTTGAAGGGACAGGAAGCCAGGACTGCATTTCCCACAGCCTGATGTGGGCTGCAGGGCCAGACCTGACTGCCCTCCACCACCACCACCTCTCTCATACAGACACACACACACGCATTCAAATAGTTTGCACAAGAAAAACACATAAATACCAGGTTCTTTACCATCGCCGTCACACTCTCCACAGCGGCGGCAGTCAATTCCCAGCTCACAATAAAATGTGCTATAGTGAGAAGGCCGTCATTTTGTGGAACGGCTCCTTCTAATTATTCTAAGTGACACAGGGGCCACACAGACGGCGAGGAGGGTTATTTCGGTGAGACTGGACTGTTCTGCAAATAATACTACAGCGAATCTATTCCCTTTCAAATAGATTTTCAACCTGACACATAGTGACACAGTGTGAAACTGCTCTGTTTTGAGCCAGTCGTACTTTCATGTGAAGTTTCCAGAGAGAGGGGACCGCAGAAGTGCAGCAATTTAGCAAACAAACAAGCCCGGAGCGTCTCTGTAATTACAGTCGAAACCTCTTCTGCTGTCGCGTCCTGGTGGCTCAGACAGGGCGACTGCATGGGTACAAATCTTGGCTGACAGAAACCTGAGTGCTTCTCGCTTTCTCAGGAGATCAACACGGATGGCGTCTCAAAAGGATATATGGCAGTATCGCATCATCTATGTTAATATTAGTGATTCGATTCAATCTTTTTTTTAATTAACAATGGCTTTCCTTCAGTGAAGTTCTACCATCACAAAAACATCATGAATAAAATAATATCTGAGGCCCGAGCGGTGCTGCCTCAATTGTTTTTTCCTCCTCCGTGGCCTAATTCCTAATAAGTCTTCTGATTAGATTTCTCCATCGATATCAGCAGGCAGCCTTACTCACGCCATGGCGCTGAAAACAAACAGTTATTCAGCTCTGCCATTTGTTCTTAAGGTGTGGGGCTGGGAGTGCGGAGGAGAGGGAGGGTGGGAAACTTCAGCTGAGCTACTGTACATATCTGGGCCTTGATGTGGCAACAATGTGTTCGGCGGAGGACGGGTGCCGGAGTGTTGGGTCACTTCCTTCCTACCGAGGCTGAGAAAGAAGTGGGAGACCAGACGGACTGAGAGGCTGAAGCCAGATACTGATTCCAGAACAGTGCGTGGTCGTGTCTGTTTAAGGAGAGAGGGAGGTGAGGCTTGTTCTCGGCCTGTGTGTGAGGGAAGGCAGCGCCGCTGAGCGTGGGAGAGTGTGCGAGGGAAGAGGTGAGAGATACCTCAAGCCCCATGTGAGTACTGTACAGTTCCCTGAATGGGCTCAATGGTGTACACACACACCCACACACACAACACACACACACCACACACACAAACACACGAGTACGGACGGACGGGACCATCTATTAGTGTTACCTAACGAAGTACTTGAACAATGACCAGTAGCTAAACTTCCTCGCTTTGTCTGCCTCCGTATAACTTCACAAGAGCGTTCAGACTGTTCTCACACAGACACACAAATACTTGTTTTGTTTGTCACTTTTGCACACAAACACTTTCACAAGCACATGCACACAGACAGGAAGAAGAAAAGAAAAATCGAGTATGAGAATCTTGCAAACTGTGAGAGTGTATCTACAGGATTTGAAGGATTCTACATCATGTTTCGGTATTTCTCTATGTCAGTATAAAAAGTGGAAAGAAACTGCAGGTTCTTAAAGTAAGAAAATCTTGCAGGCTTATCAAACAAGTATAAAAAGGAAACACGTCGCACATGTTTTGTGCTGGGAACCTGTGTTACCACACAAAACAAAAAGAGAGTCGTCATCATAATCCCTGACAGAGACAGTTTATCAGAGGTGGAGAGGCTGAGCGGGTCAGTGAGAAGGGAAGTGTTGTCTGTAAAACTGTAATGGCCTCCTTCACCCTGGACATCCATCAGTCATCTGAATCCTGGCAGCGAATCAGCCCCCACTCTGGGCCAGCTGACCCTTAACTCAACAAGCCCAGTTCTTCTGATAAAGCGCTTATAAGCACACACGTACGCCCACGTACACACACACAATTATGTATTCACACCTTAATGGGAATCGCTGGTATGTGTTTACGCGAGCGCAGTTCTCTTTATCTGAGCTGTTCCATTAGACTGAAGGTTTTGGCTGCCTGGCAGACGGACAGAGACAGAGACAGAGGAGGGTGATGTACCCGGCTCTGCCCCGCTGACCCTGCGGACCGGGCTCTGTGGATTCTCCCACGGGCCATTACCTCTCCCGTCGCTCCAAAACATGGATATCCACCATTTGATAAAACTGGTGGTAGCATTAGACGATAACAAACGGATTTAGAGTGAACATGTTGACAGAATCATGTGTATTTTCAAAATATGGACCAGTGAGTTTTGTGAACTTTGCAGTCTTTGCTACGCCAACACAGGCTGCTGCTGTGGATGTGCACTAGACACTCAGTCACTATTGTTTCAAGAACACAAAGAAACTCCTCACAGTTGCATAGAAAACCACAGCTAACTTGCCTTTTGGCTAAATTAACTGCAGTAGAACGCCACAGTGCAGGCTGAATTGGCCTTTAGTCATTTATTGATTGTCATTGACAAGTCGATGCTCATTTATTTGTTTCCCTTTAGCTGCAAAACATCAGGTTACAAACTCAACCTGAGCTCGACAAAGTATTGCAACAACACTATAGAAAAATAGTTAAATAACACACACACACAGCGCCTACCAGGTATCTGAATGAAGGACCATCCATGGCGAGGGTAGAGTGCCATCACACCCCCAGGGCATTGTGGGTGGAAGGTATTGGCCCTCGCACGCCAGTCTGACGCAAGTTCAGGAGAGCCGTAGAGGAAGCACTGTTTGAAGATCGTGCCCCCTCCACTGCGCGTCACCAACCACTCGTACCCAGCACTGCGGTCTGCACAATAACGCTCCATGGGAACTGCCGTCACCTAGGAAACCAAAAAAAAATTGGTTTTCTACATTTGAAATAGATAAAAATAGATAATATTGTGCAGAGAAAAGATAAGGAGGATGACATTTAGGATAACATGATACAAATATGTTGACCTGGGAAGGTTTTGACATTTCAAATATTTCCTATTATTTTGCATGTGACATTTGAATTATAAATGAAAAAACCCCACAGAAACTGGAAACCTTCCCATAGGGACAAAGGGATGAATCAGCAGGTTATGTGTATACGTGTGTGTGTGTGTGTGTGTGTGTGTGTGTGTGTGTGTGTGTGTGTGTGTGTGTGTGTGTGTTTGTGTGTGTGTATAGCAGGAGGGCAACTTTAACAACTGGTGAACTACTAGAGCAAGAAGCCCCCGTTTGTTTCATATGCAGCTGGAGGTTCCTATGGTCACCCTCACATCCTAACCACACACGTAGTCAACACACACACATAGATAAGAGCAGCTCATTGTTGAAAGCCTACAAAGGCAATGTGCACAGCGCCCCCCCCCCCTTCCTTTTCCACGACCACCCAAATGCTTGTCCATCTCACACAGAACATCGCACACATTCACACAAACTGTCAACACAAACACAGAGGACGCGCATGAGGGCCTTTCTCGAGCTCCTTGTCACTCAGACACACACAGACAGACACACACACACACATACCCTGGGCGTAGCAGCGAGCAGGAACTTCGGTGGTAGTATGGGCCGGCAGGGCCGTAACTTGGAAGTGGTAGAATTTCTGCTGAGGATGTTCACATCACCGTGTCCCACCATGCCGGGCGTGACTGCTGTGAACACCAGATCCTGAAACAAACAAGTACAAAAACAAAAGATATATTACGATCCTGTTTCATACTGGCCAATCATTCAAAACTTCCCAATTTAGAGATTATATCGGAGTGAGAATTGTTTCACAAACACGGGTGATGTCTGCTTTGATTTGTGGTAAATGATAGAAAACATCAACCTCAGATTATTGGAAATATAAAATTAGACACAGCAAAAGTGAGGTTAGTGAGTGCAGCTCAGCATATTTAGGTTTCACTGGCTACAAGCCTGAAACGTCATATACAATTTAAGTTAAATGCTTAAAACATTATGTAAAATGTACGATTATGCAGCTTAAATGATTTAAATTGCACGTGTAACAGAATCACAGGATAAACAGGAGGCCTTATGGTGTAATCTCACATTTGGGCAGGACATAGTGTGATTTAAACACATACATTTTCATACAGGTTCATCATGAACAAACAATTCTGAATATATTATGTACTATGCATGTTCATGTTACAATAGTGATGGATACACAGTGCCACCTAATGGTAGAATTTTGAAACGACACTCTCCATTTCTCACCTCGACCGGTAGCTAGAAAGAAATTTTATCACTGAGTTTGAACAACTGAAAACCGCAATGTTCCAATACACTACAGAGTTTACTGGGATACAATACTAAGATGTTAAATGGTGAAAGTTTCGACCTCTTTGGAAAAACAGGAAGATAATGCAGAGGGACAGAGCGTCCGACCTCCATGTGAGTAAACCTCAGGACATGAAGAGGAGCTTTCTAATTCGCCTGGTTCTCCTAACACGGAGCAGCAGGAAAGCTGAAAGCAATACCGAGCACACTGTGAAGTAGCAGCCAGAGAGAGATGCAGAGAAGTGAGAGGAGAGAGGCGAAGCATGCCAGCTACACGCAGCATCAAAAGAAAAGAGAGGAGTTGAAATAAAGTGGCAGCAACTCTGGGAGCGCGTGATTTCTCGAAACTCAGATGGGAGTCTGGGGTCAGCATGGTGACACAGGGCACATACAGTACGAGCTCTCCAGGTGTCAGCAAGTTTCTCTCTCTTGAACTTTCTTCTTATATTTTTCTGCTCCTTCGTTCTAGAAGCCGCTCCGGGGGAGGGCAGCTGCCTGACTCAGTGGGATGAAGCCAGGAGAGGAAGAGGAGGATGAAATTACCCTGACAGATTTTAACAAGTTAAGTTAGAATCAGTGGTGGATGATGATATTATACACATCTGGTTTGCTGAGTGAAAGGTTCGATGAGATGTTCTTCCACTGATATTACTTGAACCAAGCAGATTGGCTAAAACACTCTTGAGGCAGCGACCCAGTATCTGCAGGGTGCAGCTGTTTCTTTATTTTTGAGCTTGTCTGTATATTTGTGTCCATTTCCCACTAACAACGCCATTTCCACATTGCCAGGAAATATCCGCTGTCTCAACATAATCCTGTTGTTCTCAGCTGCACAATCCAACACAAATGAAAACATATGAGTGTAATTGAAATAAACCTATGTGTACTACATTTAACCCAGTGTGATCCGGCACTGACTGACACTGTTAAAGTACAAGAATGCTATTGCCAGATTATCAAGGGCTCCCAAAACAATGGTGCTGTGTAGGAGCCATTATTTATCTAATCCACACCAACTTCAACCTCTGCTACAGTGTCAGTGTCCTCGATCCCACTTCCCTTTCAGCAGCATTGTTTCTGAGGCTCTGAGGGAAGAGCGGTAAGCCAAAGTGTTTAAATATTACACCATAACATAAACGGATGGAGGTGAGTTTCCACCACAAGAAGCTGCCCCTGAGAACAAGGATTTTAGAGGAACTCAAGACAGACAAGAGTCTAAATAAAGTTCTAGGAAAAAAATCTTTGCCCTCCAGAAAGTCCCTGCTATTGGGAAGATAGTACTTTCTGAACATCACTGATCACTAGCATTGTTATATACCTGGTATTTCTTTAAAAACTAATGTTGTTTGTTCTATAATTTGTGGCCAACAATAACCAGGTTGGAGCAAGCCAAAAAATGTTGCACTTCCCAAGGCTTTATCCCTGTTGTGGAAACACAAATCACAATGAGCTGGAAAATTTTACCCCTGGAAAAGTTCCTGGATATTAGTTACCGAGAAATTAAAGTTCTTGGAACCATGAGTGGAAAAGCACCTCAGGGGGATTGTTGTGATTTAAATACCTGATTATTACGCTTCAATATTTGCACGAGATAAAAATAAAGTAGACGAAAATAGAATAAAAAAGAGAAGGGAGTCCATATTGATGTCAAAGAGTTAGAGCGTCCTGACATATTTTGTTTAACTTGTCACAAGTGTTTTTAAAAAGTGCTGTTAGTGCAGATGTATTTTAATTTATTTTTTAGTTTGACTTTTTTATGTTTTTTGAAAGAGAGTAAGAGAGGGACAGGAAACAGGGTGAGAGAATAGGGGAATGACATGGAGTAGTCTGACTGACAACATGCTGCCAATATGGTAGTCACCCTAATCATTCAAATATCAGGTCGCCCCAAGACTTTTTATTTTCCATCTTCTAAAATGTGTGTCGTGATTCCTGGTGCTTATCTCTTCATGTCTGACAGCAGACGTACAGACAGACTCTGGTGTGCACACACCCGGGAGACATAAAGAGCGAGGCAGGACAGTGTTACTGGGTCACAAGGCTACACAGGGATTAGGTTCCACACTGGATCCCAGTGGAGGGAGAGGAAGCACGGGGCAAAGAGCACGCTGTGTGGCCCAACACAGCCTCAAGCCCTGGGGAAAATTTCTGCATAGTCAGCGCCACATGCTACTGCCACAAGCCGATATGTACCGCAGATGGCTACTTGAGTCTTGTGTGTTGTTTAAGTGTATCTTGTGTGTTTCATACCTGAAGGACGGGACTGTTGTGCATGTTGGGGAAGGCAGTGGGTCTGTTTAGCCACAGAATCAGGTCCTTGTGAGACAGACACATAATCCTGGGCGGTACACTGCCTCCGTCAACCTCGCCGTGTCTGACCTCCGCCTGCCTCTCTTCTTCAAGGCCAAACAGACGTTGATGGTGGAGCCGGTACGCAGCTTTCAGGGACAGAAAAAGGGCTAACCACCTGTGAAGAGCGAAGCAGAGGAAAAATACAATCAATAAGAGAATTACAAAGAAAATATTTTAAAAATAATTCCACCATCACCTTCGCTACCATAAAGCTAATGTAATAAATATAAAATATAGTGTAATGTTATAATTATGTGAATCTTGTTTGGCTTCTTTCAAACATAAGAGGATAAGGTTGGAGATGGAAACTGAAAGCCCACCTCGCTAAGGTGCCTTGCAGCATAAGGTTGTACATCTCAGCAGGTGACACGTCGATGAAGCGCAGGAAGGAAAAACAGCTTCCTTTGTCATCACCTGGGAGAATAAATACACAGATTGAAGAATATAGTTAGAATGAAATGTGGAAATACTGGAGGAAGGAAGAAGAGTGACACTGAGGTTACATCTGTACTATTGTGTTTTTCATACTAAACCCAATCAGTTTTTATCCCCATCCATACGACCACATATCACATGACCACTCACGTACAGTGGGGATGCGTATATCAGTGTAAACAGGAAGGCATGCACGTGCTTTATAAGGCAGAACATGCCGCTGGACACAGGAATTGTCTCAGATTAGAAACAGTTGTAGCATATCTGAAGCTAATGCTGGTCATGTGACAGAAGCCTGACAAATCAGTGAAGGCTTCACCATATAGCAAGTGAATGTAAGAATATACTTCATAATTTCTGAACATCTCAGTTTTTGCCCGTCCAGACTAAAACTCTGCCCCGGAGAATTAAAAAAAATCTAAAACTCCGAGCCGAATGGACGTCAGGCGCATCCGCAGCAGAGTTGATGCATTTCCGAACAAAAACATATTGATACAGCCTGAGTTTTGAATGTCAAATGAAAGAGAGCAGCCTCGTTCTATCATGAGCCTCGTACTTGTCTGGGATCACAGCTTGATTTGCGCTCACCTTTTCTGTGAAAGAGAGACTGCTGGATGTGGTTTGGAGAGAAGGGAGACAACAGCACTTGAAGTAATCTGAGGAGGATGTAGAGAGAAAGTCAAGGTCACACCACTGAATATGAGGAAGAAAATAAGAGACTACATTTGGAATGGCAATCTGATCCCGGCCAACCAAATTGGGATAATTGGGTCTTTTGCGAGTCCCAAATCAGGGTTTTATGAGAAACAAATACAGTTTATGGCATATTTATAGAAATAGAGGAGAGGAAGATGAAATCTAGCTTTACCTGTTTACATTGGATATTTATCAAGACCAAGAGTGTCTGTGAATGTTTGGGTTGGTGTTATCTGCAACTTACTTGTTCTTGGCCTGGTTGTGTGCGTGGATGAGGCCATGACGGTAGAGGAACTTTGACATGATGTAGGGTTTGATGGACATGTGGAAAGGAGAGCGTGTCTCTTGGCGCTCAAACAAGTCTGGGTGATTACACACCTACACAGAAACATTCGGAGAGAGAAGTAAGTAACATGTGCAATGGAGGAAGCCTTCATCACGCTCATGTTTATTCTGGGACTGCCAATTCATTTTTGAAGAGAACAGAATGTAGAGTCATCATTACCAATTCCCTTGAAACTCCACTATAGCTGCACATGAACCTAATAACCACAATCTATCATCGTGACTGCTGCATCCAACAAAACAATCTAAACTCAACAGCTGTTATCATCTTATTTATTGTGGAGGTTTTTTAAATGGACACCGAAAGGACAACCCTACCTTCCTGAACTGCATGACCAGGTTCATGAGGGACGAGGTGGTGCTGTGAGACTGCTGGGCCGTGCCCATGGAGGACTGCAGCAGGTCCTCGATGGAGATCTTGTTCCTCAGAGCCTGGTAGAGGAGCCTCTGGCGGGACGTCAGCTGGCAGTAGGTCAGGATCTCAATCTGCGTGGGAGGAGTTCAGATCTCCAGTCATTTGACATTTTCACCTCTTGAACATAGAACGATTAGTACGTTAAAATGTTTTCAGTTTGCAAATGACTCATTCAAGATGTTCCTGTTGAGGAAAAAGACTGATGCTTCATATAAAGGTATAAAACAAGTTCGCAGCAAAAGCAAAAGATTCTGTTTTTGATTCATTACAATGATCACGTTGTGCCTCCTTTAAAAACACACAACAGTATTTTCACATGGCCTCAACCATAAATGAATTTATGGCAGCAGACTTCATGGTCAGACTGACCCAAATTCTTTATACGCACATTAAAATCTCTGGTTTATTGTACTGTCGTGTTTTATTAAAAGCAGTGAAACTGAGCAAATACATGTCCTAGGAATCGTAAGTAAAGTTAAACAGTTCCTATTGGTTTCAACGGGCCAGACAAAACAAGAGAAACCAGCTAAAGCGAAAAGGAAAACTGAGGTGGCTGGCAGGACTGCATGTGGGCGCGAAGCAAAGTGAAAGAGACAGATGTGGGGGTGTGGTGAACTCTGCCATTCCTCTGACTCTGTGTATCGAGACTCCCACAGCGCATGAGTGAGTATGTGTGTGCCGCATGTGACAGCGAGAGACCCTGAGTCCAGCATCTGTCAAGAGGATCTGCCAGCACAAGCATCACTCAGGAGCGTATTACAACACGTTCTGTGTCAGGGAGGTGTAGAGAGAGACAGATGGAGGAAGGGCGCAGGGAAGAAGTGGGGCTGCTTTGGTGCTGATTAAGTGCGATACTTTATTTTTCAAATTCAAAGTTTCCTGAAGAAAATTTTTACCATACCCGCTTGAACATTCAACAGACTTTTTTTTTCTTATGAAATCTCTCCCTCAAATTATTTAAAGAAAAAACTTTCTTAGTCTATTTGAAAACTGAGAATAATTGATTTTGCGCCTGTTTCAAATTTTGTTCCAATTAAATGTGCAATTCTGGATCAGACGCTTGTTTTTCAGCAATTAGACAAACGATCTTTTGCTCTTCTACCTTGTCCGAGAGCTCATTTTCCACGTCCTTCTTGATCCTGCGCAGCATGAAAGGCTTGAGGATCATGTGCAGTCTGGAAAGTTGGTCTGAAAAACAAACATCAAACAACGGTATTTAGCTACTAAACATATTACACGCAACAGTGAGCAGGGATAAAAAGAATCGTTGGCACACAAATTGTCAAATTTCCGCTCAAATGAGTTGGAAAACATTTGGTGTCGTCAGCTGGAACAGTAAGCAGCCAATAGTAACATTTCTTTTCTCAGTGCTGAGAGCTGGACTCACTCTCGTCGATGGCCGACTTGTTCTCAGCGTGGCTCTCGATGTCCTTGGAGAACCACTCGTTAAACTCTTCGTGGGAATCGAACAGTGTGGGCATGATGAAGTGAAGCAGCGCCCACAGCTGAGAGACAGTGATAACATACACTCGTCAAAAACAACAGCAGTTGTGTCTTGTGCAAATCAACTCACATAAACACCCCCCTCACCTCAGCCATGGTGTTCTGGATGGGCGTCCCGGTGAGCAGCAATCTGTTTCGACACTGGAACTGCAGGAGGATTTTCCAGCGAACGCTACAGACAGATAGAAACAGTGACTGATTATCTGGTGCAACAGCTACAGTTTATCATCATTGTACTTAACCGTGCTATGATCCCACACATTACTCAAACTGTAAATGATGGGTTGTATATGTGGGAGTAAGTTTCTCAAAACACTCTCTGTCGTTGCACATTAACAACTAGATTTTTTCAGACATTCCAAAATGTTTCGAAAGAGGTTTTCTCCGTGATCTGACCAATTTATCACAAGTAGTACTCCTTCAAAGTACTGATGACGTTTCCTTAATCATACTGTTCAACAACTTTGAGGAAGAACTACTGCATTTCAACTTGAAATTCATCTTAATATCAATCCTTTGTTATGCTAATGTTTTACCTAGTGCTGCTTTTCAGTGCCTGGGCCTCATCCAGAACCATGTACTGCCATTTGACCCTCTGGAAGTATTTGACGTCCTGGACCACCAGCTGGTAGCTTGTGATAACCACGTGGAATGGTGCATTTTGTGTGTAAAGGGTTTTCTGCACAAATACGCACAAATGGTAGGAGAGACAGAGGTATGAGAAGAAGAATATGAAGGAGTTAAGCTTTCATAGTCCAAACAATAATACATTATAATTTAACTTCGGAATATCATCTCGTCCTCACCTGGCTCCAGAATTTCCGAATCACCTTGCGGTCGTGAGGGTTTCCCCAGTATGGCAGCACCTGGTGGACAGATCATTGACGTTAAATACAAAAAATTAGTCTGTGCCAAAATCCTAACCTGTGTAAATCCTTTTCACCTAATAAATATATTCAAACTAACTTCTTCCAAAACCCCTTAAGAGTCACACTGAGCCGTGTAATACAAACAGAGTTTGAGTGATGTTCCCAGAGGAAACGTTGAGGCTTTCACATATGAATCACTGCTTCAGTTGTTGAGTTGTTGATGCTGAATGTGATGTGAAAAAATTACACATCATTGCATCACTCAACACAAGCTGGTATTCCATTGTTTTCAATCAGTCCTGCTTTAAGAGTTCAGGAAGCTTATCTGCACATTGTGTAATCTGGTCTTTTCACACTTCATTAGTGAGAAAGACTGGAATTGATTTACTTTCAAGCTAGTGCACAAAGTGGGCCAAGTGGAGTGCTGTGCACAAAAAGGGGTCATTTGTGTATGTGTGTGGGTGTGTGTGTGTGTGTGTGTGTGTGTGTGTGCTTACAGCTGACATATTGACGTGTCTGATAAATGGTTTTTAGTCTAGAAGAATGCACAGAATGCAAAAGAAGGCAACAGCCACTCAAAGTATTAGCTCTTAAGTTCGGCGTCAACATAAGCGATGCTTCAAAATGGCCTAATACAATACTGCCCCCTAATGGTTAGTTGCAGACACGCTTGCACCTGCTTGCTTTTAGATGTTTGACAGCATTTCTCACTGGAAGACAAAACACTGCGTTCATTAAAGGACCGCAAAGGAACAGTGGGAATTATTACCCCAGGATTCCTTTACATGTTTTTGCAGGTGTTTCCGTTGGCGTGCTCAGTCAGTAGCGCTGCATATTCTCACCTTGAATTTGGGCACAAAACGGGTGAACTCCTGATGCCAGTTGTTGAGCGTGGATGCAGGAGAGATGATAAGAAATGGACCCCAGATGTTGTCTCTCTACACAGGAACAGAGAAGAGAATAAACCGTCAGCCGCCACAACAGCTGGTCTTTGTATGTGCCTGCGTGAGCAGCACCCAATAACAGGAAACCCTGGAAGAGCGCAGCATGCATCTTCCTGTCAGTTATAGTTTGACACTGAAAAGCTCACAGTTCCAATGAATTCCATGTTTTCTCCCTGTGGAGTTTGGGGACCAAAAGATCTAAAGAGCTGGAGAATCAGCTGTTCACAACAATGAAAGAAGTCATCGGACTTATTCAGTAAAATATTCCAGCACCTGCAAAAAAGCTGAGCCAGAAACTGGGGCTCTTTAAAGGATGCAGGTGCAGAGAAGACGAAACTGGATGCCAAATGTTGTATTAGTCAGCATCAAGAGAGCAGACAATTTAATATTCCACCAGTTCTTTGGAAAAATGTGGTGTATGAACCCATATGACCTGGCGCTCTCTTACCTCTGCTAAATGAGCCAAAAGGGCAATACTCTGCACCGTCTTCCCCAGCCCCATCTCGTCTGCCAGGATTCCATTGATTCCCTGCAGAGACAAAAGAAAATGAATAATTTAACATGTTCAAATACACACAAAGGTTATAATAAAAAACCACTTGAATGCCAAAAAACTGCAATGACTTTCAAACCCCAAAAAACAACTAATTGATTTAGAAACTGAACTGAGCATTAGTGCAACAGGAACTGCAACGAATGTATTATGCTTGTGGTTTCCCACGGTAGCCGTTCTCAGACATGAACACGCAAAATGCCTCGACAGTTGGGTCCAGACTTTGCCTTTCTCAAATGAGGAACTCAGCAGGAGAATGTCCAGGTCAGAAGTCTTCACAACAACAAGAAAATCTCTGGAGCGTTCGGGTGAGGGGTGGCGTCTGGGTAGAGCGAGCAGGGGACAGGATGTATAAATTCTGCCGTGCAGATCATGTGCTTTAGTTTACAGCAAAGTGACACGGTCATTATTAAAAGCTCTTAAATCTCTCCATGATATTGATATCTTCGTTGCCGTCTTCTATGTGTACGGCACCGCTTTTGCACCTTTTTGATCCTGAGATATTTGTTTTCTTTTAGTTTTATTAAATTTCATGTCCATCACGTGTTAGAAATCAACACACCCACATGCCTGCTGTGAGATTATTCTGCTGTAAATCCATATGGGCCCACTTGGACATTCCCTGCTTATTTGTCAGAGGGCAGGACTAAAAGATTTCTGAGAATGTCTGGCGCGTGTTTGAAAGCAGCAGAGTAAATATAATTCTACAAACTGGTTATTGTAGTAACTGATGGATTACACCTTCAGATTTTTATCAATTTATACCTCTTGTCACAAAATAAGACAATATCATTTCAAAGATGAAGAGAAATAAAACAACAAAGAAAACCATCAAAGAAAATATTCACCGAAATAAAAACACAAATCCAGACCGGTCTCTAATTTCAGGGACAGACGGGAGTACCTGTTCGTAGAGGTTTGCCAGCCAGTTCATGCCTTTGAGTTGGTAACCCTTGAGCTTGCCATTAAAAATTGTGGGCTGAGGAATTTCTTCACCCGCAAGGATGGATGGGTTGGAAAGGCTGTAGCTCTCTCCAAACCCAGAGCCTGAAGACGGGCCAACGGCTGCATGCAGAGACGCACAGCGGCTGTCTTTGGCCTCATCATCAAACATTCGTGTCTACAGGGGGAGATTGAGAAATAAGAAGAGGATAGAAAAGTTAGTGGTAGAACAATGTGTGTGGTGTGTGTGTGTGTGCGCGCATCAACCTACTTTCTTCTGATGAATCTGGTAGGCTTCTTTGGCGTTCCTCAGGGCCTGAGACTTGTAGTATTCACTATCTGAGAGATCAGAAATCCCACACAATCAACTTGTGTATAAAACTGTAGAATTAAATTTGATCTGACATTTCTTTCACATATACGAGTATATTTCCAAAAACCCAGTAAAGCAAAGTATTATCATGTATTTCCTAATCATTCAGGAAAATACTTGTATAACATCATTGTTAGTAAAGTATATATTGTAGCTGGTAGTAACCAGTGAGTGGCTAAAGAGGCAACACATAAATGGGGAACCTGGTCAACATTTCAACAAAGGAACTCAGGATATATAACTGTCAACCATCAATTCTGATTTCAGTTATTACTTAGCTTTGCTCCACCAACACAACAAAGGTTACAGCATACCATAATCTTCCTGTCCCATGTTGACCATTACGCCTCCTCCGATATCTATTTGTCTCTGAGCCGCAGAGTCATCAAGCTTTTGAAGAATTTCATCCTGCACCGTGTCTCCTCCTGGACCCCCCACGTTGGCTTTACCGCTCATAAAGTGAGCGTACAGCTCCGTCTGGGTGATGAGGAAATTTAGTTTGCGCTGCTGACGCTTGGCCTGAAAAAAAGAAAAAGGAAATTATTGAAACAAAGTATCAGCTGGATGTGGCAAAAGCCAAATAAGACACTTCTAGAGACAGAAACTTCCCCTCCACCTACCTCTCTCATCTCCTCATCCAGCTTGCGTTGCTCCAGCGCCTCCTTCTCGGCCCTCTTCCTGTGCTCCTTCTCCACTTTCTCGTATTTCTTCCAGTAAAGCATCATCTCCTTCGTGAGGCGCCGAGCCCGGGGCAGTGTCTCCTTACAGTTCTTCTGAGCCTGGATGGCCGCACGCCGCACTTCTCGCATGCACTGATGAGCCAGCTGGTGCAAACGAAACATACGTCAAATATTCTGATGAAGCTACTGGTCAATCTTTCATATTCAAGAAGCTGAAGAGGATAGTTAGTAGCATCAACACAGCATCAACACAGCTGCGTGTACATTTTCAATACCTTCTTAGCATTGGTCAACACCAGGTTCTTAGCAGAAGTCTTCTGCTTGAAAGTCTGTAAATCAAGTATAAATAGGAGATTCTGATTTAATTGTACTGAACATTTCACCACAACACCATATTCTTGACTATTCATGTTTGACCACTGGTTTCATTAATATCATGCAGACTAACCTTGGGAATCTCCTTTTTGGCGATGGTGAGCCAGACCTTACGTCGTCGTGCATTCAGCTGCTCAATAGTCAGATGTTTCTTCTTCACCACAGGTAGTGGTGCATCATGGGAAAACTTGGCGAAGACCTTGGTGATGTAAGGACGCCCCTCATCCAGAAAGTCTCCCTCTCCTCGTTTCTTCTTCTTCTTCACTTTTTTCAGTTTGGCTGAAGGACAAAGAGTCAAATAAAATTTTAAAAATATCGTCAACTCTTTCAATAATTATCAGCTTCTGTTTCCAACAGGGACATGATCCCGACCCCAGGGGATTCCAGAGATTGATTTTTTTTGTTCTTACCCTTGAATTTCTTCTCATCTTTGATTTTCTTCTTCTTTGGGCCCAGAAGGTGGCGCTGTTGCTCGTAGAAGGGGTCATGAGTAGAGAGGAGTCCAGTGCTGTAGTACTGGTACTGGTGAAGCTGAACACAGACAATAACACAGTGATGACACTTTAAAAACACATGTCGGTTGTTTTCTGAATATCTGTTAGCACTGCGTTAGAAGGCATATGTACCTCCCGCTCAGAGTGGAACCTGCTCTGATGCTGCCTGGTGTACCGATGCAGCCTCAGCATATCTTGCAGCTCCTCCCGAGACAAACAGAAATCAGTGTCATCAGAGTCGGTGTCCGAGTCTGTGGTGTCGTCACTCAACAGGATACTCTGTAGGAGGTAGAGGAGGAATGTGGTTAAAGGAAGCAGAGGGTAAAGAGTAAAAAAAGGTGTTAACATAAGAGGGAACTGTTCTAAACAAAAAAGTACAGTGATCCGCAGAATGATGTAGTGTGTTTATAAAATACCTTGAGCCATTTCCTGTTTTTCTTCAGCTTGGAGAAATTGTAGAGGCTTGTTTTATCAGCCTTTGGGTCTGTGGGGTTTTAAGAGGAGATAAATACTTTGCATTTAGAATCTGACAGAGTGGTTAAAGATACATTAACCATATCTACCACTGTAAATGACTTTAGTCCGCACTGACTTGTCTAGTAACATATAATAACATGTTTCTTCATGCATCTTACCTTTACCTTGCAGAAGAACTCCATTGAGGGGCTTGCACTCGGCCAACCCATCCCCCTGTTCACATGACTCACTCTTCACTGTCAAAGCTGCATGTTGAGCAGAGTGGTCCAGAGACAGCCCCGTCCCCAGTGCATCATCACTGTCGTCACTGTCATCACTAGAACATGAGGAACACGTCGCCCATTTAGATCCTGTTTCTAATATTCATTCTTTGGAGATGGAACTGTCACTCATCCATGACAGGGGGAAATATTGCGGCAGATTATTTCTACTGCCATGATGTTATATAAAACAGACAAGATTGTAAGTCATGCTGAAATATCATTTCCCTTCATTTATTATTACAGTCGGTCAAGAATTAGGATTTAAGATTACTAAATTGCTTTAAATCTATTTCGCTCCAACTGATTCAGTTTGCAATCCTGTAAAAGCAAAATTGCATTTACAGTAAAACAACCACTGAAACCGATCCCAGAATGTGCCCTATAATAATCCAGTGATTCAGTCTGAGAACCACATGTGTATGATGTCCACCGCCCGTACCTGGTTATGTCTCTGTTGAAGATGGTTGCAGTCTGGCGCAGGAAACTGTCCAACCTCAGGGATCGTTCTAACCGTTGCAGGTAGAGAGGTTTGGCCAGGCTAGAGCTCCCAGGCGCCCCAACCTCCAGCCGGCCATCCTGCCCCGACGCCATGCAACACAGACACCTCTGCCCAGCAGGGCAGCAACTTTTACTGAAGAGGAAGAAGAAGCAAGATAAGAGAAGATTGCACAGGTCACTGCTACCTATACAGGTAGTTGTTATTCCGTTAAATTGAGTTATGCAGGTTCAACAAGCTTAAAACGATTTGTACATTGATCACGTAAGGCTCAGAGGCAGAAGTTTTGCCAGATTTTCAAGCAAGTCAAATCTGAGACACAGGAGATCTTCTTCTTCTAGCCTGGTTCCAAAACCCTCAAATCACCACCCACATCTCAGATGTTGTCACAAGCTCATGGTTTGTAAATCAAAATACAACACACACACACAGTGGACCTACCTTCTCAGGACAGGATGCCATGGCTCCTCATTCCAAGATTAAAGACCAGACAAAATGTGAAAAACCCTAAAAAACAAGATGACACACAAGTCACACACTGAAATTGCAAATGTTTTTATTAAGGGCATTCGCTATTTATCGTATGTGTATATGCTTTCCTTATAGGGAGCTTGTTTCATTGCTGCAATACTGATAGTGTGTGTTCATCATTTTCTATACAACATATTTTGATGGGTGTTAAATACATCTATCAAGCAGCAGCTAATTTTTCAGCTGTAAAATAT